GGTGTGTTACACACACACACAGACACACGAGTGTGTTACACACACACAGACACACAGGTGTGTTACACACACACACAGACACAGGGTGTTACACACAGACAGACACAGGGGTGTGTTACACACAAGTGTGTTACACACAGACACACACAGACACATGGGTGCGTTACACACACACATAGACACAGTGTTACACACACACAGAGACACATGGGTGTGTTACACACACACACAGACACACAGATGTGTTACACAGAGACAGATACAGACATACAGGTATGTTACACACAGACAGACACACGAGTGTGTTACACACAGACACACACACACACACAGACACAGGGGTGGGTTACACACAGACACGCAGGTGTGTTACACACAAACACACACATGCAAACGCACAGGTGTGTAAACACACACACACACACACGTGCACACACAGGTGCACTCCTACCTGGCACAGCTGTCACCCAACCCCGCACGAGGGGGATCTGGTTGGGCACTCTGGGGTCCCAGCATGCACTGCTGACCCCTCAGCCCCACAGCAGCCCAGGGGACCCCCAGTGACATCCCCAGGGTGCCCATCCAGAGGTACTGGTGTCCAGGACCCCCCCACACTCCGTGGCAGGCACTCACCTAGTCCCCACTGCCAGCCCCTTCCATCACAGGGACCCCCTGAGAAACCCCTACCCCTCAACTCTCCCGGGCCCCCCAGTGCCATGACCCTCCTGGCTGCCCCCAAGGTTTTCTGGAGGATGGGATCCTGGTGCAGGACATCAACCGGACACGGCGGCGCTACCTGTGCTCCTGGGCCTTCCCCTGGGACGTGGCAGCTGTGCTGCCCACCGAGCTGCTCTGCCTGCTCCCAGGGGTCCCGGGGGTCCCAGGGGTGCCTGCAGCACGTGCCAACCGCTGCCTGCGGGCGCCACGGCTCTTCGAGGCCTTTGACCGGTGTGAGACACGCACGGGGCGGCCCAACACCTTCCGCGTGGCCAAGCTGATGATGTACCTGGTGCTGGGCATCCACTGGCACGGCTGCCTCTACTTCGCGCTATCGGCGCGGCTGGGGCTGGGCGCTGACCCCTGGGTGTGCCCTGCCTTCGCACGCCCGCTGCGCCGATACCTGCACAGTTTCTACTTCTCCACGCTGGTCCTGGCCATGGTGGGCGACACGCCGGCGCCACAGCGCGAGGAGGAGTTCCTCTTCACCATTGCTGGTTTCCTGCTGGCTGTGCTGGGCTTCGCCACCATCACCGGCAGCATCAGCGCTGTCATCGCCAACCTCAGCGCGGCCGACGCCGCCTTCTACCCCGACGCGGGGCCGGTGCGGCGGTACCTGTGGGCGCGGGGCGTGGGCGGGCGGCTGGCGAGGCGCGTGGCGCGCTGGCACCAGCACCTGCGCACGCAGCGCAAGCTGCCGGCGGAGCGGGCGGTGCTGCAGCACCTGCCGCGGGGGCTGCGGGCCGAGGTGGTGGCCAGCGTGCACCTGCCGGCCCTGCGGCGCGTGGGGCTGTTCCGCGGCTGGGGGCACGAGGTGCTGCGCCAGCTGGTGCTGCGCCTGCGCCCACAGGTCTTCGGCCCCGGCGAGTTCGTGTGCCGGCGCGGGGACGTGGGCCGTGAGATGTACTTCGTCCGCGAGGGCCGGCTGGCCGTGGTGGCCGAGGACGGCGTCACGCAGCTGGCCGTGCTGGGCGAAGGGCTCTACTTCGGGGAGATCAGCCTCATCAACATCAAGGGTGAGCCCCACACCTCACACCGACGCCACCCCGCTGCCCCCCTGGCTCATGGCCCCCCACCCTGCAGGGAACACAGCGGGGAACAGGCGCACGGCCAACATCCTGAGCATCGGCTACTCGGACCTGTTCTGCCTGGGCAAGGAGGACCTGGCCGAGGTGCTGGCCGAGTTCCCCCACGCCCGCACCGCCATGGAGGCCAAGGGCCGGGAGCTGCTGCTGGGCATGGGTCGGCTGGACACGGTCGCTGAGGCAGCAGCGGCAGCAGCCGAGGCCGAGGCTGAGCGGCGGCTGCAGGGGCTGGAGGTGGCCCTGGAGGGGCTGCAGACACGGGCGGCTCGGCTGCTGGCACAGCTGGAGGCCAGTGCCCTGCGCATGGCCCTGCGCGTTCAGCGCCTCGAGGGGCAGCTGCACCTGAGGCAGCAGCAGGACGAGGCAGCGGGGATGGCTGGGGCTGCAGGAATGGCCACACCGCGGTGGCCAGCCAGGACACGGGGTCCTGCTGGAGGACAGGAGCCCCCCAGGACACAAAGTCCTGCTGGAGGACAGGGGCCCCCCAGGACACAGGGTCCAACCGAGATGCAGGGTCCCCTCAGGGCCCGTGATCCTGTCGGTGACTGGGATCCCTTCAAGGTGCAGGTTGCCCCCAAGGCACAGGATCCTGTTCAGGGACCAAGTCCTGCTGGAGGATGGGGTCCCACTGGGGTGCAGGGTCCCTCCAAGGCACAGAGTCCTCTTGGGGATCAAGGTCTGCCCAGGGCACAGGGTCCCCCAGTGACAGAGGATACCCCAATAGCACAGGGTCACAGTGGCACACAAGGTCCCCCCAGGTCACAGGGTACTCCCACGGTGTGGGGTCCCCTCAGGGCACAGGGTCCTCCCAGGACACGGGGTTCCACTGGGGCACAGGGTCCCAGTGGGGTGCAGGGTCACAGGGGGGCACAGGCTCCCCACAGGGCACAGGTTCCCCCCGGGGGCCGGGTTCCCCCTAAAGCACGGGGTCCTTCCAAAGCACAGGGACACCCTGGGGGAGGCGGCCCCCATAGGATGCAGGGTACCCCCATGGCACAGGGTCCCTCTTGGTCACGGGGTTCCAGACAAGTGCAGGAAATCCCCGGGGCTCGGGGTCCTGCGAGGGGTCGGGGTGCGGGGGGACCAGTCCCGCGGCGCTGAGGGGTCACCTGGGGGGCCACAGCAGCGAGACACCGACAGCTGCTGCCGCTGGGGAACGGGGACCGGGACGGGGAAGGGGCCGGGAAGGGAACGGGTCGAGGTCGGGAAGCGGTGGGGTCTGGGCTGGGAACGAGCTGGTACCGGAGTCGGAAGCAGCTCGGGACCCCCAGCCCGCCGGGCCGTCCCGGGGTCACTCGCGGGGACACGGTGACAGTCCCACGGTGACAGACACCGCGGTGACAGCCCCACAGTGACAGTCCCACGGTGACAGTCCCACGGTGACAGACACCGCGGTGACGGCCGCCGCCGCAGGAGCGCTCCCGGCGAGCCCCGTGCGAACCCCCCGACCCGCCCGGGGCTCCGCCTGCATCCCGGTACTCCCCGAGCCCCGCTTCCCGGCCCCTCCGTGCCCCTCGCCGTCCCCCGGGTTCCCTCGTTCCCGACTCCCCCGCGTTCCTCTCGTACTCCCGGGCTCCCCCCGCCGCCGCCGCCCCCCGCCCCCGGCCCCGGCCCGCCCCGCGCCGGGCGCCGCCCCCGCTCATCCACCGGCGGCTCCGAGCGGAGCGGAGCGGAGCCTCGTCCCTCCCGGAGCCTGCCGGTACCTCCCGGTGCCGGACCCCCCCGGCGGCGGCGGGCGGGGGGGGGGGCGCGGGGGGCCCCGCCATGGATCCCCGGTTCCCCAACGAGTCGCTGCAGGAGCTGCTCTGCCGCGCCGGGAACGGCACCGGGAACGGCACCGGGAACGGCACCGGCACCGGGACTAACAGCTCCGCCTGCGACCTCCTCCGCAGGGGCCTCCGCGGGCCCCCGGCGCCCAGAGGTGAGTGGGGGGAGGGCGGGAGGGACCCCCCGTGCCCGGCCCTGTACCCCCAGGCACCCCGCTTCGTCCCGCCGTGCCGCCACGGTGCCCCCCGCCCTGCACCCCGGTGCCCCCGGTCCTTGCTCGATGCTGCATTCGTTCCCCGCCGTGTCCCCCATCACATTCCGCATCCCGGTCCCCGCACCCCGGCCGGAGGCTCGGCGGCCCCGGCACTGCCCGGTGGTCCCGCTGGGGATCCCGGAGGGGACACACCGGGCTGTGCCGGGGCAGCAGGAAGGCGGAGGGGACCCCGACAGGGGTGGCACAGCCACCACCCGTCCCGCACCCTGGCCCCACTGACAAGGCAGGGACCCCCAACCCCTCCCCTCTGACCAGCCGGGACCCCCAATCCCAACCCACCAACGGGGCTGGGACCTCCCAGTCCCATTCCCCGACTGGAACTCCGCAACGCCACGGTCAGGGCTGGGGCTCTCATCGCCCTCCCCCGCCCAGCCGGGCCCCGCCAGCCCCCGCTGTCACTCGGCTCCCGGGTCTGGACGTCCCCGGTCACGTCCCTGCGCTGCCGACGGACCGGAAGCCGAGCTCCGGGGGAGGGTGGGCAGGATGGGGGCACCCGTGTGGCTCAGGGCCCCCCAACCTCACGGAGCAGAGCCGGGGGTCAGTGGGAGCACCCCGGTCCCACGGCAACTGCCACACGGGGACAGCCAGGATGCTCAGCTGCCGGATCCCCACCAAGGCACCCGGTCACGCTGGAGCCCCGGTGCCCCGGAGCCCGGACCTGTGCCGGGGTGCCTCCGGGGTGCCCTGGGGGTGTCTTTGAGGTGCCTCTGGGGTGCCTGGTGCCTGCTCTGCACTGAGCCCCGTGGAGCCAGCCAGAGCCTCAGTGCCTGGACCTGTCCTGGGGTGGCTTCGGAGTGCCTCTGGAGTGCCACCGGGGTAGTCTTAGGGTGCCTGCGGGGGTGCCCTCGTGGTGCCTCTGGGGTGCCCTGGGGTCCCCAACGCGGCTGCCCGCAGAGCTGGACGTGGCCGTGCGCGTGGTGCTGTACGTGCTGATCTTCGTGCTGAGCGTCGGGGGCAACACGCTGGTGGTGGCCGTGCTGGCGCTGAACCGGCGGCTGCGCACCGTCACCAACTGCTTCCTGCTGTCCCTGGCGCTGAGCGACCTGCTCCTGGCGCTGTGCTGCATGCCCTTCACCCTGCTGCCCGGCCTCATGGGCGCCTTCGTCTTCGGCGATGCCGTCTGCAAGCTCGTCGCCTACCTCATGGGTACGGGGGGATTGTCCTGCCTCATGGGTATGGGGCAGGAATTGTCCTGCCTCATGGGTACGGGGCAGGGATTGTCCTGCCTCATGGGTACAGGGGGATTGTCCTGCCTCATGAGTGTGGAGGGATTGTCCTGCATGGGTACGTGGGATACAGGGTGGGGATCTCATAACCCACCTCATGGGTACGTGGGGTGCACTGGGGGGCTGCAGGGGGTCACGGGGGGCTGCAGGATCATGCCACACCCACTGACGCCCCCACTGCCCTCAGGGGTGTCAGTGGCCGTGTCCACCTTCAGCCTGGTGGCCATCGCCCTCGAGCGCTACAGTGCCATCTGCAACCCGCTGCAGTCGCGCGCCTGGCAGACACGGTCCCACGCCTGCCGCGTCATCGCGGGCACCTGGGCGCTGGCGGCGCTGCTGATGCTGCCCTACGCCGTGTACAGCACCACGCGCCCCACTGCCCCCCGCGCCCCCCGCCCGCCCCCCGCGCAGTGCACGCACCACTGGCCCAGCGAGCGCGTCCGGCAGGCCTGGTGAGTCCCGGGGGGCACAGGGGGCAGGGGGGACGAGGGGACACTGAGTGACAGGGCCACCTGTCCCAGGTACGTCCTGCTGCTCCTCGTCCTCTTCTTCATCCCGGGCGTGGTGATGACGGTGGCGTATGGGCTCATCTCCCGTGAGCTCTACCGCGGCATCCACTTCGAGCTGCACGTCAAGGGGGAGGCGGCAGGTGAGGGGACAGGGTGGGGGTGACACTGAGGGTGACCCTGCCCCGGAATGAGAGGGAGGGTAGAGCCCCCACCGCAGCTCCCCATAGTGGGGGATTCCCTGGGGACATCCCCTTTCCCAGGGACCTCCTTGTAGGATGTTCCCATAGCCTTGGGGTGCAGTGTGTCCCCGTGATGCCATGGATGTGTCTGTGTCCCCTGCACCCCATCCCATCACCCAGAGGATGCTGCCATGGTGTTGGGGTACCTCAGGTCTCCATGGTGGTGTGATCATGCCCATGTTCCCCTAACACCCCATCCCATCACCCAGAGGATGCTCCCATGGTGTTGGGGTGCATCATGTCCCCCCAGTGCCATGCCCTGACCGTGCTCCCTCGCCCCACAGCCCAGCGTGGTGCCGGGGGGGACGTGGTGCCCAGGTGTGACGAGGGGGACGGGTGCTACCTGCAACTGTCGCGCCCGGGCGCGGCACTGGAGCTGCGGGCGCTGGGGGCGGGCGCGCAGCAGGACCGGGCACGTGTCAACAGCTCAGGGGCCCAGCTGGCAGCCAAGCGGCGCGTGATCCGCATGCTGGTGGTCATCGTGGCCATGTTCTTCCTCTGCTGGCTGCCCATCTTCGCTGCCAACACCTGGCGCGCCTTCGCCCCGCGGGCGGCCCAGCGGGCGCTCTCGGGGACCCCCATTGCCTTCATCCACCTGCTGTCCTACACCTCGGCCTGCACCAACCCCCTCATCTACTGCTTCATGAACCGCCGCTTCCGCAAGGCCTTCGGGGCCACCTGTGCGGGCTGGGGGTGCCGCCGCACCTGCCCCCGCCGCCCCCCCAACGACGAGCCCCCCATGGCCAGCGCCTCGCTCTCCAAGTTCAGCTACACCACTGTCAGCAGCCTGGGCCCCCCCTGAGCCAGACCCCTGAGCTGGACCCCTGAGCTGGACCCCCTTGAGCGCCCTAACATGAGTGCCTGGGGCCCCCTTGAGCCCCTACCCCATGAGCCCCGTCCCCCTCAAGCCCCCCGTGGCCCGGGCCTCCCCCTCCAAAGTTCAGCTACACCACTGTCAGCAGCCTGGCCCCCCCGAGCTGGACCCCCTCAAGCCAGACCCCCACCTCGCAACCCCGGGTGCTGCCAGCACCCTCTGTGCCCCCGCTGCCTCCCAGCTCAGGGCACCCCCGGCCCCCTGCTCTCCCGTGACCCCCTCACCCACCAGCCCCACTCAGCCCCAGTGCCCCCAGTCCCCGTCTGGGTGGGGGCGAAGGGCGAGGCAGGGGAACCCTCGGGGCTGGGCAGGCTGCGAGCGGGGGGAAGTCGAGGCGCCCACAGACCGGGGTCCCCCTGCGCCGCTCCCCGGCTCCAGTCACAATAAACTTGTCCTGTGCCCACCCGCGACAGCTGTGCCACCGGTGCCCACCCGCGACTGCTGTGCTCCCACCACGCCTGCCCGGCCGCCGCGGAGGCTCCGCGGGGCAGCCCCGGGCGGGACGGGGGGTCGGCACCGCGCAGGGCTCGGGGTGCGGCGGGATGGGACCCTCCGCTGCGGAGACCCCGAGCCTGGCGGCGGCGGGAAGAGCCGCGGGGGGCTGGGAGCCTCGGGTCCGATGTGACCCCGCCGCCCCCCGGGGGGTGACCCCACAGCCCCGATGTCCCCCCTTTACACCCCCGGCACGCCGAGGGGCCCCGGGACTCCATCTCCCGTCATGCCCCGCGCTCCAACACAGGCCCCGCCCCTCACAGTGCGCCCAGGTGGCCACGCCCTCTCCCCATAACTCCGCCTGCTATTGGCCACGGCCACGCCCCCGTTGCTCTCGAACGCCCCGCCTCTGGCACAGGCCACGCCCCCCTCGCGTCCCGGCCCCGCCTCTCTCCTATGAACTCCGAGCTGGCCCCGCCCCCGGCCGGCCCCGCCCCCTGTCCCTCGGTCATGGCTGCCGGGGTCCGGGCCCCGCCGGGGCCGCTGGCCCGGTTCCTGTCGCTGCCGCTGTCCCGCTCCCTGTCGCGGTCGCTGCCGCTGGCCCGGTTCCTGTCGCTGCCGCTGTCCCGCTCCCTGTCGCGGTCGCTGCCGCTGGCCCTGGCCGTGCTGGCGCTGCTGGCGCTGCCGGGGCCGGCGCAGGCGGGGCTGCCCCCCGACCCCGGGGAGCAGCTGGTGGCGGCGGCGCCGCGCTGGGGCTGGAGGAACGTGTCGTGCCCGGCCTGCCGGGTGCTGTTCGGGGCACTGGACCTGGCGCTGCAGGTGGGCACGGGGGCACCAGGGGGCACCGGGACACGGGAGGCACCGGGGGGACACAGGGACACGGCTGGCACCAGGGAGATACCGGGACACGGGGGGCACCATGAGGGGGACACCGGGGCACCGGGACACGGGGAGCACCGGGGGGACACTGGGCGGGGCACGGGGTTGGGACATCAGGACACCAGGACGAGCAGAGCAAGGCGGCAGAGACGCGACAGGAGCGGGGACAGGGAGTGGGACGGGACAGGGACGGGCTCAGTTACGGGGACGGGGACAGGGACAGGGCAGGCCGGGCCGGTCCCTCGTGACGGGGCTGGGCCGGGACAGGTCGGGGCTTGTGACGGGCACGAGACCGGGACAGGAACGGGGACAGGGACGGGCGGGGCCAGGCCAGGGGCTCTGCTTGGGGGAACAGGGACGGACAGGGCAGTGACAGGCTGGGACAGCGATGGGCTGGGACAGGGACGGGAACAGGGACTGAGACAGTCTAGGATGGGCCGGCAGCATCGTTCCGGGACAGCGATGGGAGGGAATGGGGGCAGGCAGAGACAGGGACAGGCTGCAGTGGGGATGGGGTACGGGCACCCCGTGTCCTTCCCCAGGAGGGAACCGGGCTGGGGAGCAGAGGGGACAGAGAGGATGGGGGGCCATGTGGGACCCCTTTGGCCTCGGGACACCCAGCTGAGGGCTGGGGGTGGCCAGTGGGTGTGAGAGTGTCAGCGGCCAGGGGTCAGGGTGTGGGGTCTATCCCGGGGAGCTGGTGGGTGCAGGGCAGTGAGGACACATGGGGGGTCAGTGTGCCGGGGTTGTGGCCAGTGGGTGTGGGGCAGTGGGGACAGTGAGGGCTTGAGGTGCTATGGCCATCCTGGGGAACTGGCAGGTGCGGGGCAGTGAGGCTGGCCATGGAACAGGGCGCCGTGCCCATCCCCGTGCAGGGCTGGCGGGCGTAGAGCAGCGATGGCAGCTGGGGTTTGGGGTGCATGCCCTATTCAGAGGGGCTGGCGGGCATGGGTAGTGGGGGCACCCACGTTTCAGGGAGCTGTGTCCATCCCAGTGTACCCCCGCAGCTGGAGCCGAACGTGGCGCGCGTGGGGCGCGTGGCATCGCGGCTGTGCCAGGAGCTGCGGCTGGCACGGCCGCCCGTGTGCCGCCAGGCCGTGCAGCTGTTCCAGCGCGACGTGGTGGCGGCCTGGGCGCGCTCAGTGCTGCGGCCGCCTGAGGCCTGCGGGCTCCTGCTGGGCCCCCGCTGCGGCCACTGGGACATCCTGGGCGCCTGGAACCTGTCCCTGCCCGCCGCCCCCAAGCCGCCGGTGCGGCCCCCCCTGCCGCCGCCGCCCGGTGCGCCCACCGCCCGCATCCTGTTCCTCACTGACCTGCACTGGGACCGCCGGTACACGCCCGGCAGCGCTGCCGCCTGCCCCGACCCACTGTGCTGCCGCGGGGCCCCCCACGACGGGCCGGGGGCCGCGGGGTTCTGGGGCACCTATGGCAAGTGCGACCTGCCCCTGCACACCATCGACGCGCTGCTGGCACAGCTCCCCAACGCCAGCAGCCGCACCAGCGACGGCTCCGGCGACGCCAGTAACGGCACCGGAGGGTTCGCGGCCGCGTACTGGACCGGGGACATCCCCGCGCACGACGTGTGGCAGCAGAGCCGCGGGGACCAGCTGCGGGCACTGCGCACGGTGACGGCCCTGCTGCGCGCCCGCCTCGGGGGGCTGCGCGTCTTCCCGGCCGTGGGCAACCACGAGGCCACCCCGGTGAACGCCTTCCCCCCGCCCTACGTGCGTGGGAACCAGTCGGCCGCCTGGCTCTACGACGCCATGGCCGAGGCCTGGCAGGGCTGGCTGCCCCCCGCCGCCCTGCGCACCCTGCGGTGGGCACGGCGGGCGGGGCGCTGGGGTACCAGGGATCAGGGGGCACAGGGCTGGGGGCTCTGGGCTATCGGGGGATCGGGGAGGTGGGGTTTGGGGTAACAGGGCTGGGGGAGTTCTGCAGTGGAGGGAGCAATGGGGGGGCCTGGGCTAGCAGGGGTGAGGGGGG